TTTCTCTTTGACACCATGTCTGATATCCCACGTGATCTGTCAAATACTAATGCATGAAAATCCTAACCTCAAAAAAATCACCCGATACAATCCGCTGTTTCTGAACAATGTCTGCTTTCAGGAAAATATAACAACCCCAGATGCTTTAAAAACGTTAAAACGTTGGCGGTAGATTATTGTGCTAACAACAAATCCTGGATGACTTCTCAAACCTTTACTGACTATTTAGAAAAATGGGATTGTGAACTTATAAAAGCCAAGACTAAAATTTTGCTATTAGTAGATAATTGCCCTGTTCTTCAGCCTATGGATCAAGACGTCATTAATAGCCTGAAACAATCTTATAGAAAGCAGCTTCTGATGAAAATTATGGACCTTCCTGAAGAAGCAAACGCGACGAAAGCTGTGAGTCTTTTAGATGCTGTCAATATGTTAAGTGTTGCATGGGAAAGTGTCTCTAAGGAAACCCTAAGAAACTGTTTTCGACATGCTGGTCTGGTAAAAGACATTCCTGATTGATTAGATTTCGACCCGGAGGACGATGAACCTTTAACCAAAATTATCGAAATTAATAACGTAGTGGTATTAAGCAAATTTGATGAATATTCAAGGATTGACGAGAATATTATGGCCACAGAAGAACACTCAGACAATGACTCAATTCAAGACTTTCTGCATGAACTGCTTGAAGAAGCTATGAAGACGCTATGAATTATTCTGGGAAACTGAAGCTATATTTTCAACAAAAAGAAAATAGTTCAGATGCAATCAATTTGCTCAATAAACTCGAAATCAAACTACAAAAAGATTTTGCCAATCTGGCATTCACCCAAAAGAAAATCCCTGACTTTTTTCAAAAGACTTAATTAAACTTATTATTTTCTTAATTTTGTATTTTTATTCATAAACTTTATTGTTTTAATAAAAAACACATTGAATTTACTTTTTGAGTTAAAAATTTTATATTCTGATTAGATGGACACTCGGTTATAATGGACAATTTGTCATGGTCCCGTGGAGTCCATTATAACCGAATTACACTGTATGAATTGTATTGGATTCTAACATAATGTGATAAAAGGCATCCTATGTCCTGGTTCTAAACTACCTCCCCACCAATTTTCAGCCAAATCGGTTGCGCCGTTCTTGAGTTATAAATGGTGTAACTAACACAACATTTATAGATTAGAAATTTGTTGGGCACCAGTGGCTGAATGATAATAAAGTTACGGAAAAAATGAAAACTTAATAACTAATTGTCGGCGAAAGAAACGTATCGTTAAGGTTTGTTGACGGTTCTTCCGCTTATTGTTGACTTTAATTTCTCGCTTTGGGTTTGAGTGTAGTTGTTTTGATTTTTTCTCGATGTTAATACGATCGAGTCTAGTGGTATGATTGCGTTTGTTGCTGATGATGACGGTGCATGGACTGGCAAAAATGCTGCTTTGGCTCTATCTATGCTAACGCGAACTTTGCGACCTTTGACGAGAATTTCAAATGTCTTGCCTTTTTGGCACAACACTTCGTATGGAGCGTCGCATGACGTTTTAAGACGTGGTCGAAAAGCATGACCTCTCAAGAAAAGGTGTTTGCAAGTTTGCAAATCCTTTTGAACAAAGACTTTCTTGTTAGCGTGATTTGACGCTGGTACGGGTTGTATTTTCCTCATCAATTCGTGTAATTGTTGAACGAATTCGGTGTTTTCGAAGAAATCGCATGGCAATTACAGTGTTTCGCCATAAACCATCTCTGACGGTGTTGCGTTCGTTGTTCTGACATTTTATAACTGATTTCATGGTTGAATGAAACGTTCGATCATGCCGACGGCTTGTGGATGTCGTGGACTTGAACGAAGGTGTTTTGTTCGAATCATACGCGATAATAATAGCTTTGCTTCGAATTGATTGCCTTGATCTGTGGTGATGTTAGCAGGCACACCGTAGAAAGTTATTCAACCGTTGATTAAAGCCTTGACGACGTTATCGGCGTGAATGTACTCAATTGGGGTAGCGATTGGCCAACGAGTGTATCTATCGATGAAAGTAAGACAATAGCGATAACCATTTGAAACTGGCAATGACCTGACCAAATCGATGTGAATCCATTCGAAGCGTGTATTTGGTGTTAAAAAACTTTTGATATAAGCCATGTGTGAACAGAGTTGAATACTTGTTGGCGGAAATCCTTTGTGATGAATGGTTGTACGTGCTTCGTTGAAAAGTTACAAACAATAGCTTTTACTGCACTCGGGATATTAACTAAATCTAGTTGTAATGTTTACGTGTTGCTTTTCAACAAATCATTGAATTCTTGGTCGATTTTCTCACTCTCAGCCAACTGTTCAAAATTGATTACTCTCTATGTCGGAGAAAAAATCGGCGAAATCCAACATAGTTTGACTTTTTCGGGAATGTAACAGATATCAGTGGTGTACTGTCCGGTCGTAGCGATGTCTTCTCAGGATTTTTAAAAACTGCGAATGTGTTTAGCTTATCGGTCATAATTGTGCAGCGTTTACCTTCAATCATATGTTTAAAATATTTGACTGATTGATAAATGGCTAATAACTCGCGACCATATGTGCTGTAGCGCTTCTGGCGGTCGGTCGTTCGTTTTGAATAAAATCCGAGTGGCTCAAATTTTCCTTCGTTTCCTTGTTGAGGAGCTCGTCCGACCGAAAAAGTGCTAGCGTCAACGTGAAGTGCCAGTTCACCGTTTGGCAAAGGATGCGCTAACGTAACCTCATGATTTCTTAAATTTTTGGAAAGCTTTTTCGGCGTCTTCGGCCCAAATAACTGGCGATTAGTAATTTTTCTTGTTGCTATCTCTGGCTTTGGATAATTTGCGAAAGCGTCCACTTTGTCGCTTCATGGTCGAATGCCGGCTTTACTGACTCGATGACCCAAAAATAACACTTCCTGCGCAAATTCGCATTTAGCCACGTTGATTTTCAAGCTGAATTCGCGTAACCATTTCAAAACTATGCGAAGATATTGAAAATGCTCTTCTTTGTTCTACGATGCGATGCAAATGTCGTTGATGTAGCAGAATACGAAGTCCAAACCGACTAATACTTGATCCACGAATCGTTGGAAAGTTGAATGCAAACATCCCAAACGGTGGATTATGGCTGTATTTTTTCGATCTTTGTCGGCGATTGGAATGTTGAAATAAGCTTTCTCAAGGACAGAAAAAATTGCCTTTCCGTTTAGATTATGAGTGAAATCGCGAAAGTGTTTGACTGAGTAGCGACACGAACAGTTTGAGCGTTCAAACGGCGATTATCTCTACACGGTCGCCAAAGTCCATATTTTTTGGAACCATGTTTAATGGACTGACCCATTCGCCTTGTGATGGTTGACAAATTCCCATATTGAACATGTACTCAAATTCTTCTTAGCGTTAATAAGTTTTTCCTGATTTAATCGACGAGCGCGTGAATAAACTGGTTGTCCGTTTGACGACGAACAGCTGTTTTCGTGGCTTTGGTCTTATCATAACAAGTCGGTGTCGTGAGATCTTTAAATTCAGTTAGCAGCTGTTACATACATTGACGCCCTTGATTGAAAATATCGGCTCATGATGAAATTAGAAACGCATTTTGCTTCGAGTTTGGTTTCTATGTCAATGAGTTGCTTGCATTTGACATCAACCAGAAAATCAAATTTGTCGAGAAAATATGCACCCAAACTTGATTTTTCTTCTTTTCTCCTTCTCTAGTCCTAGGTCGATTGAAATAAGTTTGTTACCATATGTGTTGATGATTGATCCGTTTGCGACGAATAGCGAATAACTCGATGTTTTCAGTTTCCTTTTAATTGTCGATTTAGACAGAATTGAAAAATGTGCTCCTGTGTCGACTAAAAATTTAAGATGAGTCTTACTACGAGACGGCGTGATTTTTAACTGCCCGCTTCGCTGAGCGTCAGAGGCGAAGAGGTTTTTAGTTTTCCTCCTTCTTGAATGAGCACGATTGTGATCACTTATTGACATCAGCGCTGAATGGATGATGATAAAAACAATTCAGGAACTTGTTAACCTGGCTTTGTGAACGACCACGACAGCGTTGTTTGTTGTTGCGTGCTGGTGTTTGACTGCGGCCACGTTGATTGCTGGAAGACTTTCCTTTGATTTCATTAATTTCTCGACGGAGAAGCGTCAATCGTCTGTTTCAAGGCGACGAAATCATCCGCTTGGGTGTTTGACTTAGATTGTTAACCTTGAACCGTTGAAACTGARCTGAAATTGCCAATTTCCATCATTTTGTAAATCGAATCCAATTTTGATCGCCCAAGCTGCGCTCTTTGACCATTCGATTCAGCTTCTTCTTGTTTTCCGAATCGGTGAAATCTTTGATCAATCGGCTTTTAATTGCATGGTATCCCCTGTTGCTGGTGGTGCACGCACAATATCGCCAACATTCGTGGGTGTTTCAACGTCGAGCGAGTTGGTCAGGTGATCGTATTTCGTTTGATCAATTGATATTCCAGCGTTCCGGAATTGCGCTTCTATTTGGATGAAAAACAAATCCGGTTCTCGTTTGATAAAAACATGTTGTTTTAGCCCGATTTTATACACTTCTCCGGAGACTCGAGATTAGCTGTGGAGTAAATTACACTGTTGCTGCCATTGTTTGCCGTTGTAATGGTTGTGACTGTGTTTTTAGTTGGAGTTGCCGTTTTGTAGTCATATTTTTGGTGTGTATCGTTGTTTCGGTCTTCTGGGAATGATGCACTTTCGAGTAGATTAGATCCGTGGAAGGATTTCCTAGAATAAATTTTTGCTGAGGCACTAAAAAAAATTCCGTTGCATGATGTATTTGTTTGAGAATATTCGTTGTCGTTCACTCTATGACCTCGTGTTCAGTTTATGTTTACACAGCACTTTGCCGGACACTCGGTTCGCTGAGCAAGTTCGTCTGATTTTTACACAACGGGGACTGAACTGATCGCGCGTATGATGAAATTCAATGTTCTGCACAATTTCACTATCAATTCGGCTATTTCTCTGATTTTCTTCTTTAAAGGGTAGTTTCCAGCTCTCAAGAAATGTAAAAACTTCATAAAAAAACGCTTAAGAAATGGTCAAGAAAACTTCCTGCGATAAATTTTCTTGAGATAGTACGCAGCTCTAAAGAAACCTAGTACTAATTTTGAATAAGTTTTTTCAATAAAATGCGAATATGGCAACGCTGGTTTTGCGAAGAAACATGAAATCAACAATTGTTTCTTGAACGAAATTGAAAGTAATCGTTAAATTCATAAATTAGTCAAAATCATTATTGTGAAAAAGAGTTTGTTTTGAAATGATGTATAAAACTTACAATCATCAACTATATTCCTTTAATCGAAAGAAGAATGTTTATATACTCACACACATAAGTATTTTTTCTTTGTTTATTTATT